CAAAATTTAAAATTGTGAAAAGATCGTTTTTGTCCCTGTAATCACGTGAATCTATCTTCTAGACACTAAACCCTTTATCCAAAAAACATGACAATTTTCCTGAAAAGCCTTAGCATCAATATCCGAACTGTATCGACCCCAAGTTAAATTTTCCTTGCCTAAGAATTGCAAACTATAAGCATAGATTTACACCATCAATATAATCAACATTTCTACCGCGACTAAGTTGTGTTGATGCTCATTGAATATGAAGTAGCATGTCCAGACTCAGGCAAGAATCAGATCCAACAAGCCTCATCGCTCGCTGTGAGTATTCAAATATTGCGGGAGAACACAGTAGTACACAAGACCTGAATTATTACGTGCTATATAAATGCTAATGTATTTCTTTTGCAGTTATTAAAGAATAAGATTCTCTCCTTGTTATAGGGCACCACGTATCCTACACTAATTTTATCGATTCGATACGATATAAAAATTACCATATTCGCATTTTATTGTCCTTAGCTGCGTCCAAACAGCTTTATCTTCACCGCCTAGCCGCATTAATACTAGCTTTTTTCTTGTATATTTAAAAAATGTTCATTGTTGCGTCGCAAACCAAGCTTATCTCCCGTACCATGGTATTTACGTTCGCATTTCAGATAGAGCGCACTAAATTGTCATTACTCGTAATAGTGTACGTCCTTTATTCGCTCCTCTTATAGAAACGCGAGTAGCTTGGCTGGAATCCTTACAGATAAAGGGTCAAGCGCACCAGTCTAGAGTTGAAATTCAAAAAAGAGCTCAAGCAAAATATTCTCATCTCGAATTAACGCACGTTCGAATGGTTCATATTGAACCTTTTAGAAACGCGTTAGATAAAAGGGCCAGCGCTTTGCTCTCTATTCTAAAACTTACTAATGACCTTCTTCAATTGAAAAAGACAATTGCGAACATCGTCTTTCAGCTCAAGCTGATAGAGCTTACCAAGAGGTACTGCTTTCTCATTCCCGAAGTTTGATTGAATTATTTACATTGTCTGTCCGCTTCAGCCCGAAGGTGTAAATATTGTGGAACAAACTTATAACGAGTATTACAGAACTACGAAACTAAAATCTGCAATTTCTGTAGAAATAAGAAACTTGCCACTTGTTCACTTTCTGTTGGAGTTCACAAGAGAACTCGCATGTGGTGTAAAATCAAAGTAGATGATTTTGAAAAACATTCTTTAAATGACTGGAGTACTCTTTACCATGAAGCTCTGGAATTATTTTCAAAATTTCTAAAACACTGCTATAAATATTTTCTTTAAATTATTCTTAAAAATTAGAGTTAAAAACACTTGAAAAAATGCCTTTGTATTCCATTTTTACGCTTAATTAATATTTCGAAAGCTTTGCAAATAGGTTTAAAAATGTTTCGGGCAGCTGAACCTGTTCTTACAACTACAAGTAATGAAGAGACAGAAGATTTTTCCTTCTATTTGAAAATTTTCTCCATAGTAAGTCTTTCATTAAGATCAGACACGTTCCTTCTGAAAAATTTAGTACTTTCCTTTCGAGCATTTAAAATATTACAAAAGACAAGATCTCTCAAGCACTTGTTCTCCATATTTTCTTTAAACTTTTATAGGCGCCGCCATATGCTACTAACTGCACTCAGTATAGACGACAGTAACGCAGAATTCTTCTATGCTTTCTAATGCTCAGGTATTTCTTTGTTGTTGTTTTTTTTGTTTCAACAATCACAAAAATATATTTTTACTTGTCTCTCATGTCCTCTAATCATTTATCTCATTAGCGGCAATTTGTTTACATTATAATATTTATGTGTATAATTAGTCTTTTAAATAATGTTAAAGATTTCCCGAAAACTTAAGTTTCCGTGAATATACTGAGCTCAATTCTACCTTTTCCGAAGTGCGCAAATGCCATTTTCTCAAACAACGGCACCTCATTTCTTTTCTTCAAAACTGCCCACGATAGTGGTAATTATATACTTTACGCATGACATCAGGAATGATTGTTCTGCCATTACCAATTGCGTTTTTAAAAATCTACACTAAAATACGAGTACTTTTTAAAACTCTCACACGCGTTTAGAATGCACATTTACCAGCGTATTCTAAACATTTTGCATTTTGACGAAAATACTTAAATTTACTTATAATGAAGTTTTTCGAAAAATGAGTTTTCTGTTGAAAATTAATTCAAATCGTGATTTACAGTATCACCCATTCTCGCCTTACCAACGGCTACCACTTTTTCCCCAAGAAAATGCCTTTTATTACATTTTTATGTTTCATTTAATTCTTAACCAAACTAATTATCCCGTTCTAACTATTAGGGAAGCCTAAAAAATTAGAATTTTAAAAAAGAAAATGATACTTGTGGCTGCTTGCAACAGCTACTGTGGCATAGTCCAATTGCTAGCCAAGACGGACAGAAAACTGAATACGACAGCCGCTGTGCCATTCTGAGGAACCAGTAAGTTAATAAGAATGTGTGTTGATACTTGTCACCAATTCATGACTTCAATCCAAAATGTCCACATTAATCTCTAATAATTTTCTAATTTCTATTCACTTTTACTTCCTTTTGTCGATGACAAATAGATGCCTTCAAAATCATACTGATATGGGCTAAGAGATATATTTTGTCAAGCAAAATTAATTCCAAACAGCTCAAGGCACATGTTTAAGCTACGTCAAGCTTAGGATTACATTCTCTTCACCGATTAAATGTGCGTACAAATCTATCTTACACAGAATCTCTAATATTAAGAACATCAAATTTTTATTTTTTCAAATAATCTAGCATAAAATATACATAATAATTTACATGAGTAGGCTAAAAAACACAATGTAAGACTACTTAACCCAAAGAAGTTAACTCCAACAAATCAAGTATTTTTGCAAGTGCACTTGTCCCAGTTTGGAAATGACGGTCACAATAACGCATAATCGCCTGTCAATGTCTTTGTATCCTTGAACTTCCACATTCTCTACTCTTTCCTCGTTTTTAGTACCAGTATCAACATTTAGTCTCGCCTATATCAGCCAAATATGTTCAGAGCCCTTACTTTATAAATAACTTGTAAATGCTGACAATTAACTTGGTAGTAGAAAAGTAGAATAATTCGTATATCAATTTACTTTCCGTCTAACACTTTACACATTCTGTACTATCTCACAAGTATGCTGCTTCGAAAAAGTTGTAGTGATGTTATACAAAAGAAGTTGACACATAGGGCACAATGCGTATTAAATAAATGCTACCCATGTTATCTCTTATTTTTACATCTATTGGCTCCTACGGAACATCATGACCACAATCTAAACAACTGACTTTTTCATGTACTTCCTTGTAAAGTGTTTTACTAGCTACCCTCTCTCTCATTAAAACAACAGTTAAGTTCCGCCTAATGCACGTAAACGTGTTGCTTCCGTGTAAAAAATTGAAGACCAGATTCTTCCCTCTTCTTTTCTTGGTGTACAGCATTTTAATCTCGGTGAGAGAAAAATTTCTCAACATTCATTGCTGAGATAATTGCAGATTCTCTCATTTAAAAGAATACCACCGCCATATTTAGTGATAGTATTGTTCCAGAGCCATGCATCATTTCGCCTATGCTGTACCGTTTGACCGTGACGAACCTCGACTCTTTCAGGCGCCCGTCGCTGTCGTCTGCCCGAAACGATTGACAAGTTGCACGGCCCCCGTCGGCGGGGAGACGCCTGTGGCGGGATCACCCCCGACGCACGAGGGGCGACCAACTTCACGCACCGTCAAATTGATAGTCTGTAAATTCACATGTTTTTTTCACGTTTAAAAAAACGGAGTTGCCGACGTTCGCAATTCAGGTTTAATTCGATTGAGAGCGCGCCGAGCATTACTAGAGAAGTAGAAACGCCTGTTGAAGTCTTCGGGTCGACAACTTCTTTTTTCTGTGCATGCGTGTCGTAAGTAATTCAGTGTTTTCTGGACGCAGTCTACACAGGCTGAGCATCAGGTACCGTCGCGATGCTCGAGCGCTCAACCCACGCCGTGCGCCGTGCTGATTTGCCAGCTCCTCCGCGCCTTCTCGCGTCACCGCCTCGTCGCGCCCTTTTATAACTTGTATGTACGCCAACCCCTCCGCTGCACGGGCCCTCCGCCTCGCTGCAGCCACTACGCAAAGCCTTTGCTTTCCCGCGTATACCACGGGCAGCGTCTACCTGCTTAACCAATTTTTACGATCCCTTGCGAGTAATATCATAATTTCCAAAAGTACAAAAATTAATTTCCATAACAACGATACCATACTTCAGCGGCACTGTTACGTCCACCGCGCGTTTTTGCGGCCCCGTCAACACCTGGAGAAGCGGCCCTTCAGGCGTGTGCTTGGTCCAGTTGCATATTGCATCTGATCGGAGGTCCTGGTGGGTCGAGTCCAGACTCGTGAACAGGATTTTCGACAGTCTGAGAGCTAGTCGCATCTTACATTCGAGCGTCTTCGAGGCAGAATTTCTAGCGTTGGATTGGTCTGCTCCATCTGCGTAGTCTTTCCGCTAGCTTTGTTCCGTATCACTCCCAGGCGAATGCCGGTTCTAGCACGCTAACAAACGGTGCCACCCGGGCCGCGATGATCTTCTTCCTTCTTCCTCGTCCTATCCTTCAACCCTTGACACGCACTTTCTATGCACTACACGTACCACACATACGTTGGAGCTTACCCCGCTATTCCGGCTAGATCTGTTATCCCGGCTGGTGCGAGATACCTGGGTGGGGGAAACCCAACTAGCCGTCGGTTCGTTCGCGGCCGCATCTCGCATCCAGCGGAGAAAATCCACCGTTACCTATCATCGAGCTAGCGTATAGAACTAACAGCCTGTAGGAGTTGACGCGCCCCCACACGTACTAGTATTCAGCGTCAAGAACAGCGGCACTGTCAGACCGAGGTTCCCTTTTCCACCGACTTAACGCCTCGGAAGATCCAGCCGCCACCTCCACGCAGCAAAAACCGTGCATATCTCTTACGGTACTAATACCATCAGTAGTGACGTACGTCCGCGAATCCCTAAACAACCAAGCAACCAAAATTTTACGCTCCCTCGCCGTAGCAAATATCACACATTTCCATTAATAGAAAAATAATTTCCAACAACCGCCGGCTCCAGCGGCTCGAGTTAACGCAGTCCGCAAGACAGCCGCTGAGGCGGGGTGCCAGCGCTAGACTGCGTCCCCTCCAATATCGCCTGTCCCAACCCCATCACGCAGCCGGAGTAGTGCGGTGCGCGGCCGGCGCGGCCGTGAAGAGCTTCGGAAACGCTGCGTCGCCCCTGCCCTCCGCGCCATCCGCATGGTTGGAGCCCCTGCATGAGCGCGGGACAGCGAGGTTGACAAGCAGAGACACAATTTAATCGCCCTACGGGAGTCTAACTTACTTCCATGACTACCGCCTTTTCTTATTAATTTCGTACATAATGGTATAACATCATTTCTTATATTAACATTACATTAACTTCAGGTATTCAATATTATCATAAAAGAATTTCACAGGGGCCAATCATACCACACCACCAGCTTCCACACCCATAACACACAGCCTTCCACCCCTATGGATCATCGTATTAATTGCGATACGCGCATGTCTCAGCGTTAACGCAAAATACACACACCGTAAACATCTAAAACCTAAATAGCTACGGACCCCGGCGCGCGATCGATACGCCGCCTCAGTAATCATAGACTAATTAAATAACCAAATAACACACACACACACGCAACCACTACACCTACGCTAAAAAACCCGTAACTCTACGACCTGTCACACCATTGAAAGAACACTGCTCAGGTCCCTACCTCACGCATCCCGTAATGCGTAGAACTCCCTTCTCTTAAAACAAAGCCAACTTGCACCACATATTCTGGACCTTACAAAGTACTTTTCTACGATGATGCAAACCACTACTAGAAAAAAAGATGCCATCCTATCTCTCACATTGAATGTTCTTTAACACCTTTTGGTCTCCACCACCCTTCAATTTCATGTTAAGTAGGCATCCGTCCGTTTTCCGTGTCTGTATGATCTCTTTAGTATTCGAATAAATGGAATTGAAAACTATCTAAAACTAAACACCATTCTCTCCAAACTCTAAGACACTCTTCACATTCTATTATCCATAATTTCGATCCTATTGCTACTTATACAATAAATAACTCTGACGATTTAAACAATAACAAAAACCGAGAAAAAATTGTGCCTTTCTGCTCTTCAACACATTTGTAAATGCAATAAGAAATTTAAATAACAGCACTAGTAAACATGAAATTGTCAAATAAATTCCAAAGAATTATAGACAGAACTCAAACTATCGGTTGTTTCATTATATAAAATCTGGAAGTCCACACTGACTACATGTACGAACGTTCATCCAAAACAATGCACCTATGAAACAAATGACAAGATAACTCCTCGTATTTTCTACGACTTTGCTTTTAACTGAATTTCCAAAATCATTCTCTTTACTTGCGAATTAAAATTGTAGCCTGCCTACAAACCTTGTGTCCGATAAGTAGCTCTCTGTAGCACTCGTTTAACGAATGTGCGCGGCCCTCATTAGAAGTTTGTCGGAAACAAAGCCTCTCGTGAATACGAAGGGTGAAATCATTCACTGGTGTTACAAAATGTATACGGGATCCGATAACGCTTCCTGTACAATTAGTCAGTCGACCTCGCATACCTTCTGTCGGAATCGCAAGTAATACTGAGGGGATCCCGCGCAGCGAACAGACCGCACTCTTCATCAATTCTGATTCCTAACAACGAAGCAGCGCCTTCACCACAATCCTCTCTTCGTACAAACGTGGAACCTGACAAGACGAGTGTCTCAATTGACACGTCGTTAAAGGCAGTATCCGCAGTAGTTGCAGTGAAGCAATGTATCGAAAGAACCTCACTT